GTAAAATACAGAAATGATTAGATAAGAACACAATTGTTTGCTCCCAAGGGAGGGCTAAAAAGACACTTCTGTGGTTCTGTAACTACTTCAGATGTTGTGTGTGTTTTATGTAATACTCTGCAAGACACTTACCAGATCTTCATTTCTAAGGATGCAGAGGGACCCTCTACTTAGTTTCTTCAATTTGCTTACTTTTGTCCCTCCTTATTTAGGAAGTCAAAACTGACCTCATTTTAAAACCTCCACAGCACGCTAGGATCATCATCCCAAGGATTAGGCCCTGAATAGATTTGCCAAAAGAGCTAGGGAGGTGAGTTGTGTCATGAGAAGGAGGGCTTGTGCTATTTTTAAATTGATTTAACACATCATTGAAATAAATCATACACATATCATACCAATGACACACACGCTGCATTGTAACATAGCATGTGTCATACATACATTGTCTCTCACTCATACACACGTACTTGCTCTTCTTGTCCAGCTTTAAAAGATGAAGGCAGCTGGAAAGCCGAGTCCAGTGATTTGAGTTGAAAGGGCTGTTAAAGTTTAAAAATCAAGTGGCCCTCTGGTTCTCTGCCTGGCTTGGAGACATGTGGGAGGGCTTCAAAGGCACGGTGCGGTGCCCCTCTTTAGAGCTCAGGCGTGCAGTTGGTCCCCAAATGTTTACCAGCATGAAGATGCCTAACTTACAGGAAGTGGGAAATGGGTGTGGGGGGTGAGGGTGGGTGGATGGGTAGGGAGTGGGGAGAAGAGGGTGGGGGGTGTTCTCTTGATGTGGTTAGTCTGTCATTGACCTTGTTTGGGTATAGCAGGAGTTGAATTAGAAAATGAGACCATATTTCATCTTGGGCACATTTCATCTCATTTTTTACTTTCCTTACAGGAAAACAATTGTTTTTTTCTCCCTAGTATAGTCAGGTCTCCAGATTTGGTACTCAGTTTCCCTTCATTCTACAATAGTTTTCTCTCCATATAGTTATCTGGCCTCATACTTTGCAATTTCTAACCCACCTGAGGACTGGGCATCACAGCTACCGCAGTAGCTGAGACCAAGTAGCATCGGGTTGTTGAGCTATTGTGATGATATCATCAGAGAGAATGGATCAAGATTTCTGAGAACTATTTGGATCAATTTATGATTTGATGGCATTGTGAATACTCTTTTGTTTTTTAATTAGACTGCACTTTTATTCCAGATCGCACTTTGTTATTCTCCTGGGGGTGCTGTTTAATGTTGGGGAGATGTGTAGCTATCATCCACACACAACATAATGCAATTTGTCACAAATATATGGAAATAGTAATCATCACCTTGAATTCTAATGGGATCATTCACTCATAACTAAAACATTTCCAATGTCCAGAAAAAAAAAAAAAGAAAAAACCAAACTCACTGCCGTCAAGTCAATTACTACTCATAGCGACCCCTCCTTGGGTTTCCAAGGCAGTATCTCTATGAAAGTATATTGCCCAGTCTTCCTTCCAAGGAGTGGCAGTGGGTTTGAACCACCAGCCTTCTGGTTGGCAGTCAAATGCCTTAGGCACTACACCACCAGATCACCTTTCCAGTATCCAGAGTTCCTAAATAACATTACTTTAAGATGTTTTTCTCTAAGTTTTGTTTATTTTGTTGTTGTTTTTGAGAATACATTCAGCAAAACATACACCAATTCAACAACACCATTTCTACACGTACCATTTAGTGACACTGATCACATTCAAGCTGTGCAACCATTCTCACCCTTCTTTTCTGAGTTGTTCCTCTCTCGTTAACATAAACACACAGTTCCCTAAAGTTCCTGCCTAATCTTTCTAGTTGCTGTTGTCAATTTGGTCCCACTGACAGTTCTTAAAAGAGCACAGTGCTCAAGGCAGATCTTTTTTTCACTAGTTAAACTAAACTATTTAAGATGACTTCAGGGGATGTTTTTGGTTTAAGGTTTACAGGTTATCTCAGGGCAATAATTTCAGAGGTTTATCCACCCTCCATGGGTCCAGGAAGTCTAGATTCCGGGATAATTTGAAATTCTGCATTTCCCCCCTTTTGATTAAGGTTCTTCCGTGGAATCTTTGATCAAAATGGCAAACATTCTTAATAAGAGAACTCTGCCTAAGAAATGCTGATTAATAAAGGTAACTGAAGAGTTTTTGGTATTTCAACAAGGAGGGAGATAATATAATGACTACCAGTGCAGCAAATTATTACTTAGAGATAAATATTTTGAGACCTTAGAGTTCAGATAGCCGTAGCCTCAGATAGCTCTCTCTGCACAGCTGTGCAAATGACAACGTCTTCCTGCTTTAATCAGTGTTCTAAATGTGTGAGGCTTGGGCCTTCTGGAAGGGTGACTTTCAGAAGGTTGGCCTCCTTTTATCCTCCCTTAACATGTTTTTTATTGGACAATAACTGAGCATTAGAAAAAAACAAACTAGTTGCTGTAGAGTTGATTCCAACCCCTGGCGACCCCACGTGTTAAGAGTAGAATTGTCTCCATGGAGTTTTCAAAGTGGTGACTTTTCGAAAGTAGTTTGCCAGGCCTTTCTTCCAAGGAGCCTCTGAGCGAGTTCAAACTGCCTACTCTTCAGTTAACAGTCAAGTGCTTAACCATTTGTGCCACTCAGGGACTCCAAATACTATGAGAGGGACAGGTTTTCTTTCTTCTTATGAAGCATGCTCCACTTCCTTTCTTCTGTTTCCTTTCTTTTTAAATTATATTATTATCCATCTTTGACCTCTTTAATCATTTAATCATTGGGTTTGGAGATTTTTTTGTCTTAGTTTGAGACAAGAAGTGAACATTTGAAGGATTTTATATTCTGCTTCTCGGTGTCTCAACATTTACTTTCCTAAGTTCCACTCATGGCCTTGCCCAGCTCAGCTGGAACACCTGGAACTAATTTTAGGGTTGCCTGGCTAAGCCCCTCACTGGTATTTGAAGTTTGTGTCCTCCCTAGGCTCAAGCCCATTTCACCACCTCTGAAGGTGAGTGCAGGCTGATATTAATTAACAGTGAGTTGATTCACTGGCATCTTCCAGTCATTCAAGTGAATATTTGGCTTAAAATAGCCCTCTTCCCACCTCAAATATCAAAGTTTTGCCTATTCCCTTACTCCATCATGGTTGACTCACCAGCAATTGCATGGTGTATGTGGCCTAAGAACAGATTTTGATCCTAAAAGGGAAGTGAAATACTCTCTAACATCTGCAAGCGAGACTGTTTGAACAGCAGGCCGGCCTTCAGTATGACTACATTGTTTTTGTGTCCATTGTGGTGCTGACTCAGCATCCGTTAATAAACCCTCTCTGCAAGACTGGATTTCTCTTGTTTAATTATCGTCTTGGAACTCTCCGAGAACACTCTTAGGAATGGTGTGTTCAGTTTGATACCACCAGTGCATGTGCCATCTGAAAGTCTTGTTTCTGCTGGGTGCTAGCGTCCCCTCTGGCATAACATGAAATAACAGGTGGACAAGGCAGCCAGTGGGGTGCGTGTGTTGCTCATGTCCCCTAGTGGGAACTGAGTTGTTCTGTACTACAGATTGTAGAGAGACTAGACCCAGATGCCATTGCCTGGAAATAATCATTTGCCTCCTCCCCCTGCCAAAAAATATTTCCAGAAAAGCTTCTTAAAAAAGGAAGAAGAAAATTTAAAAATAAACAAACATACTTTTATGATTGTGAGTTGGGTTTTTGTTTTGCTTTGGTTAGTTTCTTCCTGTAAACAAATACTCAAATGTCCTCTTCATTGTGTGACTAAGTTGGCATGATTAGTTTGAGTGTGTGTATGTAGGGGCAGGTGTGTGCGTGAGTGGGTGTGTATGCACCATGTGTATTTAAAATGTTAGAAAAGACATTGCCGCCTAAGGTGGAAGGAAAGATGATTTTCAAAACAACTGCATATATGAGGCAAGCAGGAAAAGTCGGAGACTTGCTTTCTGTGATCTAAACAGTAATTGTAATGGGGTACTGGCTGTAAAATGGACCCTTTACATCATTGTTTCTCTGAATTAGAGGATTCCTTGCTGAAGGCATAAGACCATTGAAGGAAGTAAAGCATCTGGTTTGTTTTGTAATGAGAAGCAGGAATGCAAGGTCCACGCTCTTAATAATAAACAAACAGGACATTGTATGCCATCATCACAGGATGTCCTTCCTTCAACAGAGGACTGACTGGGACGGGAGGAAAAGCCTGATGGGGCTCAGAACCCAATAATTACTGCCTCCATCCGCCTTCCCCTTACAGTGATCAGTTCATTCTCCTTAACTGTGAAACAATGAATGGGCCATAGTTTACTTACACACACCTCTGAAGTTTGGCTATGGGTTGTGAGAGGAGAGGAAAGACAAAGTAATTTCAATCCATAACATTGTGATATTTTCCTGTTTAGTATATGTATTTCTAGAGGGAAGTTAGTTTCTCAAAATTCGAGTGGATTTTATTAGCAGGAGAAATAGGATCTTACAAATTTGGCGGGTTTTTTTTTGGGGGGGGGCATGTCTTTCACAGACAGTAGCCTGGGTCCTAGATAGCTACATTTCAGTACATTAGATGCAAAAATATTTTAATTAGCTCTTCCGAAGTCAGGTTTTGTATAATCTGTCACTAGGGGTTTGAATTGAGGGACTCAAAATTTTTAGGTAATTCCCCCCCACCAAAAAAAAAAAAAAAGAACGTGCGCCCCTTATTAAACCTCAGCAGGAAGAAGGGCGGTCTGGTGTATTTAGAATACAGTACAGCCAAGTAAACGTTGAGGTTAAGTGCCTTCAAAGGGAAGTAGGAAGATTCCAGGAAAATGTTGAAATCCACATTAAGGAGAGGAAGCTCGGCTGCTCGCGATCTGGGGGGAAAGCCCTCGGCTCGGCTCGGCTCGGCGCGGCTCTGCGCGGCTCCTCCGAGTCCAGGTGTGGCCACGCCCCCACTTCTGGCAGCTGGTAGGAGTGAATCAGACGGCGAGTGGCTAATCTGCAGCAGGGAGGGGAAAGGAGCTGTTGGTCTGGTTAACACTGCCTGAACGTGCTGCCGTGACACTCGGCCCTCCAGTGTTGCGGAGAAGCAAGAGCAGCGCGCGGCACCTGTCCGCGGACAGCCGGCGCCGGCGCCCGGGCGGCGGTAGAAAAGGAGGGACCGCCGAGGTGCGCGTCAGTCCTGATCAGCCTGGCGAGAGGACGCGGGAAGCAATGTGGACTGTGTAGAGATGAGCGAGACTTATCTCCGATGTTGGATTTGTGCTTGGGAAAACTTGTGGGTACGACCTTGGTAAGGAACTTAATTTTATTGTTATTCTGAAATTGATCTCAAAACTTTTTTTTTCCTGCTAACCTAGTCGCAGTGAAAACAAGAAATGCTTCAGTATTACTGCACTTGCACTTAGTGCTGTCCAACATTTGAAAGACTTTTTCCTTATGAATCATTAACTCTTTCGGTTCTAGGCATAATTGTCAATTCATTGAAATTTCAGTTTCTGCCCACTCCCATCAAAGAAAGTAAATATTCTGGGTTGGTGTAATTTTTAAATTTTGCCTCTCCCCACCCCCCAAAAAAGAGAGAAAACCCTCCTTTATTTAGGATCCTGAGTGTACATGTTGGAACTGAATAAAAATAAGTTGTCTTAAATTTTAACTTAAGGAAAGACAGCTTTGCATCTATTTTTCACAAAGAGCGTCCTAATGAGGGAAGAGTGGAAGGATATAAAAGCCTCCTTGAAGGACTTCCACAGAGTTTTATGTTTATGTTCTAACCAGGTACAAGTTCTGACCTGGAGATGATGCCCCATATTCCAGCTTGTTATCAATATGTATGTGAATGGGAAAACATCACACAAGTTGGTTACCTCTTCTCGCTTTGACAAGCACTGCTCCTAAGTGTGAGGGAGGAATTGCGGGAACATCCCTGTCAGTTTACAAGTGGAAGTGGAGCTTGTCCTCTGACTCCTCTAGATTTGTTATAACTTTACAGTAAACTGTAGCACATAGTGACTTCTGGGAATTCGTATACTTCCAGATTTAAATGGAAAGTGCTATTTGTAGCCAAGGGCTCCTCAATGAATTCTCTCGAGGGAATTCTTTTGAACAATTTTATGTTTTGTTTTGGCTTTTTCAATGTGGAACGAGATGCCCACAGGTCAAAGGAAACTGGAGGCTGTTTTCACCCTTCACCCATTTCTCCTCTAAATATTCCTCTGGTCCAAGCGATTTCTGAAAGGCTGCAGCTCAGTGATGCTGGCAGGATGCAGCCCTTTTCAGCCTTCCATGTGAGAGGATGAAAGAGAGAGCGCAGCAGAAGGGGGGGGCAGGTTGTTTTGAAAGTTGTTTTGCGTTGGGAGCTGGTGGGAAAGTTCAGTCTTCCCCATTTGGAAAAGGCAGGCTGGGTTCCGCTCCTACGCCACACGCGCTTTCCATTTTTAGCTTCATTCAGAGGCAGACAGAGCTCCTTCCTCTTCCTCTCCTTGTTTGTGACACTTTTCTGAGGCAGCTTTTCCACAGCGCTGAGGGTCTGGCGGCCATGACCCCAGGCATTCTTGGACATAAGACTTGAGTACCCACAACATTTTTCTGCTGTGAGAGGTAAAGCCAGGGATTTTTTGGAGGTGGGTCCCCCCCTCCCCATGAGTTTGCCACTTTTGAAAAAAAAAGCTTAAGAGTAATATTTAAAAATCTTGCCTCTTCAAGACAATCTACTTTATACGGCTTTTTGGCTCTTACTCAACTGTACCAAGCACTCTGCATCTGCTTTTAAAGTCTTCAGACTACTCTATTAGTCATAGCCTCTCAGAGAGAGCCACAGAAACGGCAGGACAATGGAGATTAAAGGCCTTTTTCCCTTCTCTTCCAGGCTGCCCCAAAGTGTAGCTCCAACCTTGTGAGGATTCAAAGGTTGGGAGAGGGGACCAAGGGGACCATGAAAATGGACATGGAGGACGCAGATATGACTCTGTGGACAGAGCCCGAGTTTGAAGAGAAGTGTACATACATTGTGAACGACCACCCCTGGGATTCTGGCACCGACGGAGGGACTTCAGTTCAGGCAGAGGCATCCTTGCCAAGGAATCTGCTTTTCAAATATGCCACAAACAACAAAGAGGTAAGCCTCCAAGTTTTTACCGAAGAAGATTGACACCTGACGGCCAGATCTCCCTATTTGCCCTTGAGGTCTGTCTGTCTGTGAGAATCTCTAAGTATCAGTAAATAATTGATCATTAAATGCACTTCTCTCATTGCTTTCTCTTTCCCTAAGCCAGTTCCTTCTTTCCACCGCCTCCAACTCTTCCATACTATTTAGTAAACAGTTAAATCATTTGGCAAGTTGAAATGTGGACTTGCAGCATGGGGTGGATGAATTGTCAGGAACTCAGAGAAAGCAGCTAGCTGCTCTGAACCCACTGGCATGAATATCTTTCTTGTACATTAGCTGGTGAGGGTGAATACTTTTTCTTAAAAAGAGTTTTTTATGTTTCTTTTGTCTCTCTTTGGACATTAGATGGCTTTACTCTTTTTTAACAAGCTGGCTTTATTAGCTGGGTTTCTAAAATTGTTCTCAAAACCTTGACGTGTTTATGAACTAGAGTGATGGTTCATGTAAAAGTGTTCTCTCTTAGGATGACTGAAGAGCTAACCATTGTTTATCTGTGGCAGCTCCTTGGCTCTGGATGGGCTGGCAAACCGATTCCTTACTGGCCTCTGAAGTGGGTACATTCTTTGTTGTTTCAAAGAGGCTGAAAACATAAATGAGGAATGAGTAACTGATTTGTGTTTACCCTTTTATATACCGATTATTATAGCTGGGTGTGAAATAGCTTGCAGAACCACCTCTTGCTTTGAGAATTCGGCTTCCACAGTTGCTCTCACCAATTTGAACCAATCGACCCCTCTGCTGCCTTCCCATCACCACCACAGACCACTGTCAGTTATATTACTGTTTCAGGAAGTACTGAGGAGAAGACCCTTTGCTGTAGGAACCCCGAGTGTGCCACTGGGACTGTTTATTACAGCCACGTCAAATCACTTTCCCCCTTCCCTAAGGAGCAGCATTTGAAGGAGTTTAGAGCCTGCTTGGGAAAAGCTCTGTCTCTTTCCTGTTTGTGTCTGAGTTCAGTGTTTTTGGTAAGGGGGAGACACAGCTGTCTAAAATTAAATAGAGCCACTCTGCTTTGAGTTTCATTAAAGCTCAACCTTTTTTTTTTTTTTTTTTGCAGTTGGGAGAGACAGGCAGATTTTATAAAGGGCAAAATTTAAATTATAACTGTATATTAACGTTACCAAAATTTTAACTCCAGAGGTCAGCCTTGCTTATACCTCTTACAGAAAGTCATAGCCTTCTCAGTGGAAAGTCTCATAATATGTGGCCCATGGAATCAGTGTTGGATTTGTTTTTTGGGGTATTTAAAGTTTGACTGTGGCTTTAAAAGGTGGAAGATTTCCCGCCCCCTGCTCCCCCAAATCAAATTTGACCTATTAGTAGTAGTAGTAGGGTTAATTTGTGCTATGCTGCCCTGTCCAGCCACTGGGACAGAAATAAAGATCTCTATCCTGCGGGTCATCTTTGCCTTTTAATACTTTAATGTCCTTGTCCTCAATTCAGCTCTGAATTAAGAGTTGTTCTGTTTCCATCATTCTGCTTAAATTATTGCTAAGTCAAGGAATGTTCTTAGATCGTTTAGTTCAAGGCATATAGTTAGAGCCAGAGCTGGGACTTGGAGTAAAGTCTTCTCACTTCCTCAGCCAGTGCTTTTTGATTATGCTACACTGGCCCCTCTTGGTGTCACTGTGGTTTTATTTATCATCTTAACATATTTCAGAGCCATGCTTCATTAAGCTTGTTTGTATTATTCTCAAAACTTGTAACTCTGTTTCAGTATGTTAAGCAACCAAAAAACACACAGGGCTCTTGCTCTTAAGGAGGGATCCTTCAAAACTAAGCTAGGTGTCTGGTTTCTCTTACCCTATTTCCCATATTTTCTTTAACGGAATCATTTGATTAAGGTAGTGTATTTTCAGTCCCTAATCATAAAAGGAATCAGGAGACAAAATTAATATGCAGAATTGTCTTCAGTGTATTACTCTGGAATTTGTACCTGTTACTCAGTTTCTCCCTCCTTCCTTTTTGAACTTTGGGAAAGGACTGCTCCCTGTCAGTGGTTGAAAGAGATGGTGGGGTTGAACTACTGATAGCTGCAAACTAGATCCAGAACAGAAACTTTTCGGGTTGATGAAATGTTTACATTATCATTATTCAGTCAGCCCTATAAGTCTCATGAGCCGTGGAAATAGGAAAAAAACCCTTTTTACATGTAGTTTTTATTTGACTGATTTATCTTGTCCTCCCTTAAATAGCAGGAGATATTACATTATGTACTGTTCTGCTGACAGAACTGGGGATTTTTTTTTAACATGACCATTTTTCATTATGAATTTGCGCTATGTGTCAGCACCTTTTTTTTTTTTTTTTTTTTGGCTTAAAAACAAAACATACAAACTATATTTCAGATCTTCACCCTCATTTTTAGACTTGGTTTAGAATCGTTCTGTACCTTTAATGAGGCTGTTCTTACTTCCTATTTCCAGAACCAAAACCAAAGATAGATATAGTATTCAAAACTTTTTAAAACTGATAGGTTATTATTTTATGGGGTTTTTCCCCTCGCCCTCCTGAAATAATCTTCTATGAACACTTAGAGACAGAAAGATCAATTTAGATACTTATATTTTAGAAGCAGGAGTGCTGTGCAAGTTGCTGCCTTCAGTTGAGATCCCTTGTATTCAAGAGGTGCTGTGGCTCAGAGTCTGACCCTCCCAGTAGGGTGGTGATAAACATCAGGCTGGTCATAGGGACTTTCTCAATGTCCATTTTGATTGAGGGCCATTATTAACTGAAGTCATCTTTAAAAAGTATCTCACCATAACATGCAATTCTCTCGTCTTCATACTGCCTTTTATTTGAGAGATGATGTACCGTAGCATTACTGTGTTTCCTTTAATGTAGTTAAGGAGGAAACCTTCCAAAAACATCTCTGTTCACTCCACCCCTTTTTTTAAAAAATGGGGTGAATTACAGGCTGAAGGCCTTAGTCCACTATAGAGTTATTGTCATCCTAAGGTAAATATCCTTATATTCAAAATAGAATTTTAATTGAATGAGTCACTTTTACAGGGTGAGGTTAGGGGAGGGGGAGAGATAGCTAGTAATTAAAATGATCTTAATGTAATTTGAGGTGAGGATGCTCGTACCACATTAGGCCTGGATAATATTTGTCCTTAAAACCCACCACTTTGTTTGTTTGCATATTTCCTAAAGGAAGAATTTGCTTTAATAATAATAATAAATGGAATTTCATTCAGCACCCCACTCAATCCCATCTAAGCTATAAAATCTACTTCATTGTGTAAATGAAAACAAGCCCAAGGAGCTCTGGTTTTTGTCTGGAAGCTACGGATGTCTAGGTGTCTCTCTAACTGAGACCACTGACAGAGACAGATCTGCCCGCGTGGTGCAGGGGTCGACTCTGCACATAAAGCACAGCACAGAAGGGCTTCCGTGGGGAGCAAGTGAAGCAAGGAAGTGTTGAAGCCCAGCGTGCTCACACTGATAGGTTTACAGAAGGCACACAGCAGCCTGTCCCCAGCAGTAATTCTTTAGGACCCTGGTCAGTTCCAGTGAAGTTTCCTTCCTGAGTTAGGTGAATGAACACATTCTTAATTAGTCCTTTTAGCACTGTGAAATGCAAGGCACACACCAGGTTCCTTTGAACATTAGCCTGCTCCAGTGACAGAGTGTTATAAGCAGTGGGTCATGCAGATAGGGTTGGCAAGGTGGAAACCCATCTGGAGTTTTCCAGGGCCAGAGAATAACTTTGACTTGGTCTTTCTCTTCCCATGAAAAGCAACCCACGTTCCTATCCCCCCACCAAATCTAACCTGTGACAAGCACCACAATCTTAGAGTTGCAGCGTTTATGTCTTCTTTGAATAATAGCTCAGACTTAGATTTGAGATGAAGGATTTTATTGTGTATTAAGAATGCTGGACTAGGAATGGAGATAGATAACATTGTAAAGCACAAAAGTCCTTCGAACTTAAAAATTCTATGATTTTCTGCGTATATTTATTTAAATGTGTGGGTTTATCTTGTACCGTATAGCTCTGCATATAATAGCAGTATAAACATTAAAGTTCCGTCCCACCCTTAAAGAGAATATCTAATATATTATAGCCTTGGAAACCCAATGAGGGTCACTATGAATTGGAATTGAGTCGATGGCAGTGCGCTTTCTTTTGTTTGTTTGTTTGGGGTTCTAGGATTTTCAGGCTTGTCTTCTACCACAGACCCTCCCTTTGTTACTGAATTCATGGAAGGTGGTAGATGGCAAGAACTACTTCCAGGACAGCTTTAAATCTTCCCCAATGACTTGCCCATAGTTGTGCTCAAATATTTGTCCTCCGTAGATTCCTTTGTAGGATAAAGATTCTAGTTGACTTCTTGTGTTTGGTCATGAGACAATGTCATGTGTTTTCTTAGTGTAAGATTAATAGCTGAAAACCAAGAGGCCCATTCTGTTATTATTATTATTTTTTTTTTTAAAAAAAAAGCACTTTGGAGGAAAATCCCTGACCTAAATGTAATACTATTTGTTGGTAATCAAGCTCTGACTCTCAAGACACGGTCTGCAGGAGACTATAATTTAAAACAAAGTTGATGAACCAGTTGAGTACCTTTCTTAAAATTAATGCTTTAAAGTGGGTATGTTGAAAATATCAACTGCTAATTATTGGCTGGCCAACAAATGGCATTATTTGTTTTTCCTGTTTGTCATTTTAATATTATAGAATAATCATTCAAATATGAATGCCAAATGATTTGTGTGTCAAAGAAGTCAATTCCATGAATTGTCCAAATTAATTAGATTTGATAATAATATGTATATCTAAACATGGAGACTTTGAATAAGTACCTAAGCTTTAAATATATTTTTTTCTCTTACGACTACTCTGAAAAACTCTCCTTCCCAGTAGTTGTCCTGCTAACAAATACCAATAACGATGAACTGTTATTGAAAGGGCAGATAGATGTAAATGAAGGCAGAGGAGGAGGATGAAATGAACATCTGCTTTTTTCAGCTCTCTGCCAGAAATTCATAAAAGACCAAAAATAACACTGTAGCCCACCAACCTTGTTTCAGCTTGTGTTAGGTGTAGGAAATTTTCTTTTCTTTTTCTCTTTCCAGTCTGAATATGCTCCATTGACTTGTACATTGAATATTAATTTTTTTAAATTGGTTGTTAAGAAATTTACATGAGAAAGACTGGTCTGTCATAACCATGCAGTTGTGCTTTTTTCATAACCATTTAAATAGAGATTTAAATTCCTGATGTGATTTAATGAGATATCAGTGTATATAATAATAACCAAAATCTTAACATTTCACTATGAGCAATTTGTGAAAATTTATTGATTCATATATTTGAGTCTGCCATCTCAGGAAGAAGAAAATACATAGAAACCACTAGGAATAATAAAAAGATGGGGGGGGAAAAATGATCTCTTCCCTACCCCCAGTTCAATTCAGTAAGGTATGTAGTAAATAATTATCAGGCTAATTTGAATAAGAAGAAAATAAAGATGGAAAAGTGAGGGACTAAACCAAAACAAAATTGTAACTGAAATGCTGTAAAGAACTGCTCACAGAGGAGCTCTTTTGAATAGTGATGAATTGCTTCCTGATTTGTGGTTGGTGATGTTTTTTTAACTCCCCCCTCCCCAAAAATTTATGATCAAGGAAGAATTGTCATAGTTCACATGTTTCTTTAGCAAGGCACTACAAAGTCAAAATGTGTCATACACACAGACCGAGAAGGTCATTTCCTCAGATCTCAGAACCCACAGCTCTTAGAACCTACAGCGCTCCTCAGTATAAATTCTATTTCAGTGGAGGACTTTTGACCACTGTTGAGTAGAAGATAACTAGAGAAGAACAAAGTTACTTGGAAGATCTTTCTTCTGTTAAAGAGAATTTATAAGCTATGAAAAAAACCTCACATGGAATATAAAAAAAAAAAACAGTAATAATAATGTATTCGGTTTCTGGTTCCTTAGGCCTTTATGGAAAAACCAAAGAGGATTATTTTGGTTTTTGAGGTTAAAACTTTTTTATTTCCCTCAAGCACCAGTGTTTATTGTTTGAAGGAGAAAGAGAAATAGGAAACGAGGAGCAGGCTGAAATGGGTCTAATCTTGATCATCTAATTCATCCTGCAATGTCTGATGCTGATTCTGATACAGAATGGTTATCTGCTCTGTTCTAGTGTTGGGGAAACAAAAAGGAAAAACAAAGCCTTTTTGGTTACTTGAGAACAATTCTCTAGACTATTTTAATGCTTGGTTGAATATTTGCTTATGATCTCGGAGCTTAAAAGAGGGTCTCCCTTTAAGGTGAAGCTTATTGTTAATGATGTAGGCACCATGAATGTCTGCCGTCTGTATTGCAATTTTGTGGTTATTGGTTGTATTAAGCAAAAAAAAAAAAAAAAAAAACCATTCCTGTTGTGTTGATTCCAACTAATAGTATTACCACTTAATAACTCAGTTCGTTGAAATAAAAAACATTGGTTAACATTTTACAATTAAAGTAATTGTTTCATATGTTTTACCCTCTTTAGGTTATTGGAGTAGTGAGTAGAGAATACATACCGAAAGGAACACGTTTTGGACCACTAATAGGTGAAATCTACACCAACGATACAGTTCCCAAGAACGCAAACAGGAAATATTTTTGGCGGGTAAGGAAGGAAAACTTTTCCAGACTCATTAAGTCTTAGGAAAAAAAATGGAACTATAAGAGCTGGGTCAGTTCCTTTTTCAACCTGTTCTGAGAAACTCTGGGGCTTACCCACAAGTATTTAGACTCCCCAAGGACACAGGGAATTGTGAACAAATGTGAAGAAACTGGTTAAATGTGTGGCCTTGGAAACATAGCCTATAGGTGGTTAATGATGGAGATATGGACTGTATGTGAGTCTTAATTTTTGCAACTCATTAGAGCTTTGTGATGAAAGGAAACAGTATGCTGCTTGCTTCAAGGGTAGGTTCATTTGCATTTCTCTGCAAGGAAATAGTAATGAGTCACCAAGCTTTAGATTTCACCCCTTCTTGATTTCTTGCTGAGTTAACTTTAATTGAATGCAAGACTTATCATAAGTGAATTGTCTTAAAAATAAATGACATGAAGGAAAGTTAAGTGGAAGATAGGGCTTAGGAAACGGAAACAGGACCACATAAGTGAGTCTGTACCGGAAAGCTATTGGATTTGATGGTATGTCGGTTACTCCATAGCATAAGGAAAATGCTTACAAAACCTGTGAGACGATTAGTTTTCTTATAACATCCAGTTAACAGATCTGGCAAATACAGTTTCCTCTGGGATATCAGGCTTAGAAAAGCCCCCAGAGGTGCACTTAGTGAAATGAGATCCTCAAGAAAAAGACCTTGAGTTAGTCTTGAACAAAGAGAAGTCAGAATGTTTTCCCTTTTCCCAGTATATATTTCTGGGATATTCCCTTTCTTTACTTAGAAATATAAAGATATGCTTACTAAATTTAAAAATAAGTCATTTTTTATACATACTTGCATCAAATGTATATGACTAATAGAACACCATTATTTATAGTCTTTTAAGAAGTGACTGCATGATAAGGGGAGCTCTGGTAGTGTAGTGCCTAAGGCACTTGACTGCTAACCAGAAGGCTGGCGGTTCAAACCCACCAGCCACTCCTCGGAAGGAAGATGGGGCAATCTACTTCCATAGTGATACTGCCTTGGAAACCCAAGGCGGGGTCACTATGAGTCCTCCAACTCGACTGGCACATAACAACAACAACAGCATGATAACAAGAATCAGATTATACTTATCTTATTTTTGCCTAGAATCCTTAGTCTTTTGTCACATTATCATTATAAAAGACTTCTGTTGAGGAGTCACTCAGTAGCTATCCCTGAGAAACAAGTTTGTGTGTGTTTTTCTGCCCAGAGAATTTTGTGTTTTTAGAAATTTATTTTATTATTTTCCAAGCCACAGAGTCATTACATATTCACAAACACTGAGTGCTTGCAAGTTTTATTTAGTAATTACTCATGCTTAAAGTATATTTCCTTGTTTTATTTTTAATGGAGAAATGTCAATGAGTGCATTTTTGCCTTTATTGCCAATAAATTCATCTCAGAATAAGCCATAGAGGTGTATAAGTTCTTGGAGTCAAGGGTCTGAATTTAAAGACATTATTCATCTGATTAATGCACGGTCATTTTGAATTAAGGCAAGAACACCTGAGACACCCCCCCACACACACACCCCCAATCACTATCAGCGTTCCCTGGTTCATTAAAGACTCACAGTAAGTAACTCAAACGCTTTCCTTAGGAAGGTTTATTTCAATCAGTCTTTTACATGCAAGGGATATTGTCAGAGACACTGTTCCACATGTTAAAAGCATTCTGATTTTGCTGGCAGGAAAACTAACATCTGTTGTGGAGAAAGAAAAAGTTTCATGCAAATGACACAAAGGAGAGAGAAGGGATGTTCAAGTTGAGAAACCAGTGGCATTATTTCTTGTAACTGTACTATGAGTCAGCACGTTTTTAATCTTCTTGATAATATATGGAAATGTAGTGAGGTGATAGGGAACAGCGTTCGTTTCATGTTCGCATTATTTTATTTTCTTGTGGGTGTGTATATGTGTGACTTCATGGCACTGACATTTCTGTTTTCAAATGAGGATACAGTAAATTGTAATCCGTGGAAGACTGACTGGAAGCAGCACACTTTAGAAAGCAGCTTCCGCCCCAGCGAAGAGTGCAAGAGCGATGGAACCCCATGTTCCTGGAAGTTTGCACATCAGAGTAAACAAACTTGAAAACCCCGCTTGATAGCAGAATTCACCCAGCCTTGTTCCATTTTCTCTTAACAAAACACACCGCAAAAGCTCTCACAAGCTGCTTTGATGAAGCCACATGTATTTCCCCCTTCACAATTTACAGGAAGTTACTCTTAAAAGAAAGTGATTCTGGTGTTTACTGCCTGTGTTAAAGGGACAGAGTTCCTTTTTATTTTTGATAATGTTTGCGTGAGACGCAGAAACAATTTATACACTAATGTAGAAAGTGTGTGAATAAGAACAAAGCAAAAAACTTGCTGTTTTGTTAGAGCAAAATTTCTGCTGCAAACAGGGTCCTACTACTTGGGGACTACAAGTTGCAGATAGCCAGGTATTGATGGTATAAGAAAATGTCTTAAGTTTAAAGAAAAGGCAATACTTCTTGAGAGAGAGAGAGAGAGAGAGAAAAGGAGAGGGAGGGGGAGAGGGAGAGAGAGAGAGAAAGAAACTTTCTGTAGAAGGATAAGGAGTTTCTTTACAGTTTCAGTAAGAGCATTTATAGTTTTTTCTTTCTTACCTCGACCTTAATACCCAGTGTCTTGAGTGCATCTGTTAACCAGAAGTAGTATTACTTCAGGGCAAACTCTGAATTCTTCATTATGCCTTGCCTTTAAAGAACTACATACTTTCTTCTGTTCTTTTTCCCAAAACACAAGCCTATGGCTCTCTGTGTGGTGTTTGAGCCAATCTTCTCACCGATAAGAGGATTCCTTCTCCTCTCCTTTGGCTTGAAAGAAAAGTGCAGGGCTGAACATGTTTATCAAGAGGAAAAGTGACTTCTTAGTAGACTGTCAAATTCTGGCTTCTGTCCCGGTGTTCACTTTGTTATGGCAGGTGAAGTTCACCTTTGCCCCACCCAGTGTTTCCATAAAAAGGCAAGGTTCCAAGTATTCATATGAACAAGTGTTACTTTAGGACTTGGAGGGTTGGGGGTGGAGGATGTTTGCATAGTTTAAGCCTTGGGCGGGGGTGTAGGAAACAGCAAGTACAGAGGCCATAGAAAAACTGAGAGACTCAGTTTGACGTAGTCAGTCATCTTAGTCTTACCCAGGTGACTCAAAGCATTAAAAGTCAGCATAATCGGAACTGAAGTTAGCAGCATCGCCCATTTGCCATTCACCGCTGTAGCAAAATAGTACTCTGTGGTGGTTTAATCAGTCGGAGGCAGCTCCTTAAATGAAATTGTGTGTTTCGTTCTTCTGCTGTTTTTCCCAAACATGAAAGATGATAAAACTGAAATGGAAAAGGTAACTGACAAAGTGTGCCTTACTTGTAACCGCCCTTATTTCTGCTGATTCAAGACTACTCCTGCTAAATGGATTTGATTGTTTTTTAACTAGGCAATAGGGGACCAGGTATCACACATGATACTTGCTATGTTTATTCTTAGAGGTGCTGGGGGAAGCTTTCCATTGCTTTGGGGCTGACTTTCTTTTACACGTCTGCCTTCTCTTTTGGACAGATCTATTCCAGGGGGGAGCTTCACCACTTCATCGACGGCTTTAATGAGGAGAAAAGCAACTGGATGCGCTATGTGAATCCTGCATATTCTGCCCGGGAGCAAAACCTAGCTGCATGTCAGAACGGGATGAACATCTACTTCTACACCATTAAGCCCATCCCTGCCAACCAGGAACTTCTTGTGTGGTATTGTCGGGACTTCTCAGAAAGGCTTCACTACCCTTATCCCGGAGAGCTGACAATGATGAATCTCAGTAAGTGGGTTCGGAACAAAACATTGTTTAAACGCCAGCAGTGTCAGTTCTGTCCACGTGCGCTAATAACCTGTTTAATTAGCTTCATCATCTGTTAGGCCACAGTAGGTGGCTTAAACTAGTGACTCAGAAGAGTTTTATTATTTTTTTTAAAGTCTCTATTCCCTAAACTTGGATCATTAGAAAATAAATTAAGAACTGCTTTGAGTGTTTAATTCAGAAAGTTACAGGAAGAAATATGTGTTTGATTCTAATGTGGACCAGTGGGAACATAATAGGGATTGGTTCTGACATGCTAAATATGCAAATTATTGCCCCTTATTTGTGATAATTTGTTGGCGCTTAAAACATGCATTAAAATATTGTGGAGCTATTCATTTGGTTATCAAGTTATACTCTGATGAGGGACATTGTAAGATTGTTCCTAGAAGAAGTCTCAGTAATGGTTTTTCAAATATTATTCGAAATGGATAACCTTAAAGCTTTTCTATCTTCCTTTCCTTCCTTATGGTAAAAACCTAATTATCTGATCTCCTAATCAGTATTATAGTAGCTGCTTATCACTTTATCTTAACAAGTTCTCAGTTCCTTAGCTTTTACTTTTTCATTTGGTTAAAATTACTGTCTGGACCTCTCTCTGCAAATGGTTCCTTCATTTTAGTCATTCTCAAGGGCTCTCTGAATGATTGAGGAATTAGCATAAAATCCTGACCTCTGTTGTTACTGTGGTTGTATACTCTTGGTTATATAGCAGTTTTTAAAATTATTTTTTTTTTTTGGCTTAAAAACTAAAACTGAATGCTGAATTTTTGGTAACTTTTTGTCTTCTTGTAACTCCCAACTTACAGAAAAGTTACAGGAGTAGTACAAAAAATCCCCATAATACTCTTTACCTAAATTCATCAATATATTGTCTCATATGCTTTATCTGAAGGTTAAATTGTTTTAGTTCACATTTTTACCTTTGAGACATTTGGGATAAATACCAATTTTTATATAAATCGTAATTTTGACTTAAACTTTAGGACCCATTAACAAGCCAATTTCTTGTCCTATAGTCATTTGGTATTCATCCACACTGTCAGGTTTACTTGATCTCCCTTGTGATCTCGGAACTATTGGGCATTTGCAGTTTTCTGAAAATCTGGGACTGTAAAGCACAAGCACATCCCCCAGAGAGTCACCTCCCAAGCACCCCACCATTTGGTTCTGTGAGTTTTTGAGTTCGTGGTCCCACAAGGCAGCGCGCACACACACATAGTACGCCCTTGAGCTTTGAAAGGATCTTGGAATGTTTAGAAACAAACGAGCTTCCAAAATAAGCATGGCAGGCATAATAAAGTTCTGACCGAAGGTGATGGTTCTTTTCCTTCATTTCTCTTCAGTGCTCTGGAGATTCTGCCATAGTTCGCATGTGGAACACTCCAGGAGCCTTTCAGATATTTTGTCATCTGTACATGGCAGGCCCAGTGCTAAGAGTTGGTGGTAAAAGACACAGGCGAACAGTCACCCCTTCATGGAACCTATATTCCAGCAGGGCATCTCATAGGAAAATTTGCTGATTTTGCCTAATCTTCTTAGCATAGCAAGTCACTTCCTATGGAGGGTCTCCTTATGTTCCTGGAACTTAATCATTCATGGAGTCAGAGAAAGTCTTCATTTAAAACAACAACAACAACTACTAACTCCATTTGAGGTAACCCAGCCCAGTGACTTTGCACCAAGCAATGATAAAGTTTGTACCTACTTCCCCCACCCTCTGCCAATCATAAAAGGTTATAAAGGCATTGCAATTTCGTCTTCCAATGAAAGGCTTTGCACAGTCTTTTAAGTTTCAAATGCATATTCTTCTTTACTCAGAAGCAACTTGCACATGAAATGACACCTTTGTTTCCTCAAATATCCCCTTTCCTTTATGTAGAACCTTTTTTTAAAAGTGCCATAAAATGGTGGCTAAACATTTTCAGGTACCCTTTACTTGCCCAATATTCATAGTAAAGAATAGAGTTAACAATAGCCAGTCACATTAAGACAAGACTCCTGCTGCCAATTGTGAAACCAGTTGTCTTAGGTGTGGCAACTGATGATTGAGACTCTATCAGGAAAATTTCCACTATTTCATCAGGTCTAATAGGTGGATTGTGTGTGTCTCCAAATGACTTGTGTTGGGTGTCTGTGCTCAAAGCCCTGTGGGGTTCTGAGCCAGAATCTCTGTGACAGCTTAGATGGCAATGGTGGCTCAATTGGTTTTGCATTTTGAGAAGGAATTTTACATAAACTGAGATAAGGAGAAGTAAATACCAACGCAACACAAGGCACTGCCATGGAGTCGTATCCGACTCATAGCAACCCCTCCTTAGGTTGCCAAGGTGGTGTCGCTACAGAATTAGATTGCCCAACCTTCCTTCCGAGGAGTGGCTGGTGGGTTTGAACCGCCAGCCTTCTGGTTAGCAGTCAAGTGCCTTAGGCACTACGCCACCAGAGCTCCCAAGTAAATACCAGAGATCACAAATTCTGACTAACATCTTTAAAGAACAAAACAGCTTAAAAAAAAAAAAAAAAAGTAAGAACTATTAAATTGAAACCCTACCCTCCCAATTTTTTTGGTGTTTTTTCTATCTATCTATCTATCTATCTATCTATCTATCTAACCCATTTAGAAAACAGTTGACCAAATTATAGACTTCTAAATGTTAATCTGCTTTCTCAGTTTCAGTTGAAAACAGGCTTTGTTTTGCCTACTGCAGAACTTCTAGGTTCTTTCTTGTAGTCTTGGGGGTTCTTATTATAGATCGAAAATGTGAGTCGGCATAATTAAGCCATTCAGAGCCTTCAGAAGCAGTTCACTCTTGAAATGACTTCGTCCGCCTACAGCCATTTAAGATTTAAGAACAAAAACAGATCTTGATTTTCTTTTTCATGTTAACTCAAGCTGCTGCTGAGTGGGAGAGCCAGAAATGACACCAGCTCCACTGATTACTCAGCTGCTGTTTGAGGGATGCTTTTTTAAAATGTACCTTCATATAGACTCCCTTAAGTACTGCCTGTAGAACATCTCAGGGGGGCTAACATTGCCCTCTGGATATGATTTTAGAGTAAGATAGCAATCTTTCTCTTCCTGAAGGCATAAGAAATGGCAAGAATTTATTGGGGATTTATTATGTGCCAGGTACTTTTCTAAGTGTTTTGTGCAGAAAATTATAAATCTCAATTTTTTGTTGGCTGTCCCTAGTGCCTAAGGCATTTGACTGCTAACCAGAGGGTTGGCGGTTCAAACCCACCAGCTACTCAATGGAAGGAAGACTGGGCAATCTACTTCCATAAAGATTTACCACCTTAGAAACCTAATGGGGGGTGCTATGAGTCAGAATCAACTCTAGCAGTGGGTTTGGTTCGGTTTTTTGGTCCCTATCATTAAGGAGCTCTGCCTCAATGGTGCAGTGCCTAAGGCTACCTAAAAGGTTGATGGTTCAAACCCACCAGCCGCTCTGCAGAAGGAAGATCCATTTCCATAAAGATTTACTTCCTTGGAAACCCAATGGGAACTTGTCTCTGAGTCAGAATCAACTTAATGGCAGTGGGTTTTGTTTTGTTTTTTCGGTTCCTATCATTAGCTTTGTTGCAGTTCTATAATCTAACTTTATTAATGTATTTAATAAGAGCACCTTCATGACTATGAGGGACAGTGCTATGTATGGATTTATATTTTTACACTTGAGGATTTATTTTGTTGAATTTTAGAACCAAGGGAGTAATGGGCCACTGGAAAAAAAAATTATGAGACTTAATTAAATATAATCTGCTGACTAAAAATGGCAGAAAGTTATGAGCAAAGTTTCTATATTTTCATTTTCTTAGGATGGCATCTTTTTGTTGTTGTTTGTAGTTTGGGCTTCTGTAGCAGATGTCTCCGAATCACTCTTCTTCACCTCTGTAAAATTCGTTCTGTGGCCATGAGATGCCTCGCCTATCAGTTTTCCAGTTTAGTTGTCTCTCTCTTCCTTACCATTTTAGCTTTAAAAAACAAAAGTGACGATTTCAACTTCCTGCCTGCTGGGCCTCACTGAAAGACTGATATTGGCCTGATAAGGTGATATTTATTTTGGTTTAGTGGCTTCAGAAATCCCTCTCCTTCAACAATCTTTCCATCACTGCCCCCCTGATCAGCATCTTTCCTGATAGTGTCCTTCTCCGTGTTTATTCTGGGGCTGCTGGCCGGAGGAGGAGTAACTGGTAACAGCTAGCAGCAGATAACATTCTCTGAGGAACTCTCAAACTGGAATCGAATCCCTCCAGCCTGTCAGCTGAGAATGGATTTGAAGAGTTCAGAATCTGGAGTTCTATATAGTTCATTTCTAGACCTATCAGATATCAAGTCTGGAGTTCTTTCTCAGTTCAATCAAGCCAGGGACATTTTAAGACAAAAAATTTTAAGACAGCAAAAAAGAAAGATTAGACAAAAGCTTCAGCACTGTGCCCGGAACCCACACTCCACTCATGCTGAGGCCGGGAGCTCTTCTGCCTCTCAAAGCATCTACTGCATCACCGACTTTCTGGTTTGACTGACAGCCCTCCAATAACCAGGCCCAAACTAGGCGTCCTATGTTTTACTTTTGATTTCTAGGGAATGCTGAGCAGGAGGTTTTGGTTTTCCCCAGCTCTGCCTGTATTTTCCTGAAGGCATCTTCATCCACAGAAGCTAGGCCTTTGGCTGTGTGTGTGAAGGGGCAGGGCCGGCAGTGGCATGGGTAGTCTGGGACTGTTTGTGCTCACTGTTGCTGTTACTAAATAATATATTTACCAAGTAATCATATACCTTCTTTTGGAGCAAATGCTTTCATCTTAGCTGCCTCTGTTTTCTTTGGTGCTCTAAGTAATTGAACTGGCTTGGGAAGTGCCTGTTGAGGTTTGGCACAAGTGACTGTGTCACGCCTTGTGATTCCAGGGGACAGCTTGCTGGGGGCCTGGTTATACCAGACCAAGTTTTGGACAGATTCTTGAGTTGTCAGCAGATGGAGGGTAAGGGGTGGTACATCCACATTGCTCATCTGTCTATGGGGCGTAGGCAGTTGACACAGGGTTTTATCAAATTTGTATTAAACAGAACCAAGGCAAAAATTGATGACTGCTTATTACTTGAAATGAGTCTTAATCTCTCACATCTAGCTCACAGGGTGTGCTGATTTCCTTTAGGTAAACTGTGAACATCAGAATGACTTTATATTAACCTCTGACACCCCCTTCCCCCGCCCTGGTATTTTTCCACCCCATTTTAATGGAAGCTGTCTGCTCAAGCTTGAACAGCACTTTTCTATCATAAGGTTTTTACTAATGGAAACAACATGATCCAGACGGTGCTATTCGTTTGATAGATGCTGCCATTGTCCCATTTTGCTGAGAAGGAAGTGGAGCAGCAGTTTTTAGTGAGTGGCCCAGAGACTCTAGAATGAACGGGCGTTGAGGGAGCCAGGTGGCTAACTCACGTCGTCGCCAGCTGGTACTCATGTTTTCTTGAGAAGAGAGAGTAACTCTGGCAATTTCACTTCAGTTCTTTAGATCCCTCTGAGTAATCGCCTTCTCTTATTCATTTCAGCACAAACACAGAACAATCCAAAGCAACAGAGCACCGAGAAAAGTGAACTTTGCCCAAAGAGTGTCCCAAAGAGAGAGTACAGCGTGAAAGAAATCCTGAAATCGGACTCCAATCCTTCCAAAGGAAGGGACTTCTACCGTTCCAACATTTCACCCCTCACTTCAGAAAAGGACATGGATGACTTCAGGAAAAATGGGAGCCCTGAAATGCCCTTCTATCCTCGGGTTGTTTACCCGATCCGGGCTCCTCTACCAGAAGACTTTTTGAAAACATCCCTCGCCTATGGGATAGAGAGACCCACTTACATTACTCATTCCCCTATTCCATCGTCCACAACACCAAGTCCCTCAGCAAGAAGCAGCCCTGACCAAAGCCTAAAAAGCTCCAGTCCTCACAGCAGCCCAGGGAATACTTTGTCCCCTCTGGCTCCTGGCTCTCAAGAACATCGGGATTCATATGCTTACTTGAATGCACCCTACGGCACCGAAGGCTTGGGCTCTTACCCTGGATACGCACCTCCCCCTCACCTCCCACCAGCTTTCATCCCCTCTTACAATGCCCACTACCCCAAGTTCCTTTTACCCCCCTATGGCATGAATTGTAATGGCCTGAGCGCTGTGAGTAACATAAATGGCATCAACAACTTCGGTCTCTTTCCGAGATTGTATCCTGTCTACAGTAACCTCCTGAGTGGGGGCAGTTTGCCTCACCCCATGCTCAACCCTGCTTCTCTCCCAAGCTCATTGCCCTCGGAAGGAGCCCGGAAATTGCTTCAGCCTGAACATCCCAGAGATGTGCTTGTTCCAGCACCCCACAGTGCCTTTTCTCTCACTGGGGCTGCTGCCAGCATGAAGGACAAGGCTTGTAACCCGACAAGCGGGTCTCCAACAGCAGGCACAGCTGCCACGTCAGAGCACGTGGTACAACCCAAAGCTACCTCAGCAGCAATGGCAGCCCCCAGCAGTGATGAAGCCATGAATCTCATTAAGAGCAAAAGAAACATGACTGGCTACAAGACACTTCCCTATCCACTGAAGAAGCAGAATGGCAAGATTAAGTATGAATGCAACGTTTGTGCCAAGACTTTTGGCCAGCTCTCAAATCTGAAGGTAGGCCTCGAGATGAGAGTCAGCTCAGTATGCTAGTGTCTGTGCGTGTGGTGTGTGCTCCTGTGTGTATTTAGCTCACGCTCCATAAGTCATAAATTGCATTTTCAGCAGTCTGAGAACTAGTGGATTTAGGTTCTACTTTGCTGCTTCTAGCTAGGTGGCTTTAGACAAGTTACTGGCTCTCACTTAAGTTTCTTCTGGATAAAAATGTGGGGTTGTGGCCTAGAAGATCAGTTTAAAGCCTCTGCTCTACTAATTGACTCAAAGGCAGCTGGGTTTATTTTATTTTATTTTTAGCCTGTGATTTTTTTTTTTTTTCTTTTGCTCAAACGAAAAGCATCCTGAAAACATTGGCACCTTGTAAGGCTTCGTCTTGGTGCTTTTCTTAAGTTGTGTGCATCATGAATGCCTGAATCTTTGATGCAAGACATTGGGTCTCAGAGCTGGTTTGGGAGCGGAGCTAACACATGTACTTTCTTTCCAGGTCCACCTCCGAGTGCACAGTGGAGAACGGCCTTTCAAATGTCAGACTTGCAACAAAGGCTTTACTCAGCTTGCCCATCTACAGAAACACTACCTGGTACACACGGGAGAAAAGCCACATGAATGCCAGGTGGGCAGTATACTCTGGGTGAAACTTTGGACCTTTGTAGGACATGTCTGTGGTGTTGCCCTCCCACCTCGTATACCCATGGTTTAAACCAGCACGGAGACATCTGTCTTACCCTGGGCTGAGGGCACTCTGGACCGCCCAGTGCTCTGCCCCTGCTAACAAGCTGGGAGGATGACACAGGCAACTTCTAGTGGGTGGAAAATGGTAGGGGAAATAAACACCACCTCGTGTGCAGTATGCCTACATCGCCCTGTTTGCTTAATGCCGCACCATAGGTGCCACAGGGAGGCTTCTCGCCGCCCAGGTTGCTGAGTGTGTGTTTTTAAGCTTGCCCCTCCCATTGGCAACTTTTAATCTTTTGGTCTTCCTGTCTCTGGCCTCTTCCCTACATTGCAGGTTTGCCACAAACGATTTAGTAGCACCAGCAATCTCAAGACCCACCTGCGCCTCCACTCAGGAGAGAAACCTTACCAGTGCAAGGTGTGCCCTGCCAAGTTCACCCAGTTTGTGCACCTGAAACTCCACAAGCGCCTACACACCCGGGAGCGGCCCCACAAGTGTGCCCAGTGCCACAAGAGCTACATCCACCTCTCCAGCCTCAAGGTCCACCTGAAGGGAAACTGCCCTGTGGCCCCAGCTGCCGGGCTGCCCTTGGAGGACCTGACCCGCATCAATGAAGAGATCGAGAAGTTTGACATCAGTGACAACGCTGACCGGCTCGAGGACATGGAGGACAACATCGATGTGACCTCTGTGGTAGAGAAGGAAATTCTGGCCATCGTCAGAAAAGAGAAGGAAGACACTGGCCTCAAAGTTTCTTTGCAAAGAAACATGGAAAATGGACTCCTCTCCTCAGGGTGTAACTTTTATGAATCATCAGACCCGGCCCTCATGAAGTTGCCTCACAGTCACCCACTACCTCTGGTACCTGTAAAGGTCAAACAAGAAACAGTTGAAACAATGAATCCTTAAGATTTTCAGAAAAGGAAAAGTGTTTCGTTTTTTAACTTATGACTTTGGCAAGTCAGGGTGCCTGTAGCAAGTTGCTTGTACATAATTCCAGTTCTACAAAGCTCTCCTGACAGCAGACGTGAGTGGAAACCTCACCTCTCTGGAAGTAAAGAAGGAACTCCAAAGTTACGGAAATCTCAGGGCATAAACGAGGCAATGACAATATATATACGTATTATATATACCTATTTACACCCCCATCTATATATTTGTACTTGTGTATTTTGAGTATTTGTGTGGATATGTTTGCATAGCCTTCCCATTACTAAGACTATTGCCTAGCCATAATTATTTTTTCAATGATAATACACCATAATTTATTATGCAATTTATCGTTCAGAAAGCAATAATTAAAAACGTTTACAATGACTGGAAAAATTCCTTGTAATTTGAGTATAAATGTTATATTTTTGTCTTGTGACCATTCTTTGTAGATAACTTCTGCGCATTTGCTTAAGTACCTAAGATTTATCAAGCAAATACATTACTTCCCTCAGTCAATGTCCTTCTATAATATCTGAAAATAAGGTCTTGGTATTGCCAAAGTTAGACAGTGGATGTGTTAAATCATAGGATCATATCGTTTGAATTGCACTGTATAACTTGGGGGTATGTGTGCAGAGTCACCCATTAGTAACCTGATAGAAGAAACAAGAAAAGGAATCTAATGTGTTTCTGTAGATTATTCTGATTTTTTTTTTCTTTTCCTTTTCCCCCAAGCCACAGTTTTACCCAGAAAGGTGACGGGAAGGCTTTGCCAACCTGCCTCTTTCTCTAAAAAGCGGGGTCTCCCCACCAACCCCCAAAGTCATGTGACCATTCAGAGTGGCCAGCCACATGACTTTTGCATCCCAGCGTATTATCTAAAAATGTGAAGAAGACAAAATGCCTTGTGTTTAAAACCACTGCAAAACTTTCCCGAAGCACAGGTGGTTTTCTATGTGTGAGGTTTGGGGGCCTGAGAATGGGTGTTGTTTATTTTGTTGGTTATTTTATGTCAAAATTGCACAAACATGGTGCTCTACCAGGAAGGAGTTTGAGGTAGATCGGCTCAGGCCACACTTTAAAAACAAAACAGAAAAACGGGTAGTTTCATTGTCTTAGGGTAAAAGCGGGTAATGAACATTCCTATCCCAAACACATCAATTTTATATTTTTATGTCAAACTGTCCTCAGTATTTGTGTTTTTACATTTTATGGTTAATTTAATTGAAGATGAAAGAGCATTGCAAAATTGTTCAACAACAGTTACCTCATTGAGTATGTCCAGTAGTGCAGGAAATGGTGTCTTATCTAATGGTTTGCTACCCGGAGAAGAAACGCAGTGTACTCCAAAAAGATAGAATGTGTGTCATTTTATCTTTTGTTCTGCTAAACCCAAAGATTACATGTTGGCATTCAAGGTGTAGCAAAGAATGATGTATATTTATAAATCTATTTATACCACTATACCATGTGTGTGTGTGTGTGTATATATATATATATATCTATATATCTATATATATCTATATATATATATATATATATTTATGACCACTTAAATTGTGAGCCAAACCATGTAAAAGAACCTACTTTTCCTAAGGACAAAAACCAAAAACAAAAAACAACCGTTTCTGAGACTTTGCTTAACACTCATAGACCTAAGATCGCATTGGTGTGCTTGGACCTTGGCCCAAACGTTAGTGCAGAGGTAGGGACCACATGACAACCAGGGAGAAAGAGATTTTTTTTTTTTTTTTTTTTTTTACTATTAAGGACAATCTAAGACAGCTTTATTTTTCTTTTGCCACATTGTGATTATGTGGTCACAACCAAGTCACAGAAATAAAAATGCTACTATTTACTCTGCCACCATATTTTTTCTCTTTTCCTCTCCCTCCTAAATAGGATACATCACTAATCAATCCATTTTACGTAGTTAGCATTGTGTTCATGGCAATTAATGTCAACTTGCAGAATTGAACAAATTTAAGATAATCTGGGGAAACCTAAGAGCCTTACTGATCTGTTCCTTTAGATAGTGAGACTGACAAATTTTTTAATTTTCTTAATTGTAAGTAAACCAAAATAGCACTATCCTGACATCAACACCAGACACTTTCTATTCTCAACCATTCATTTGTTCTCTTCTTTTCCTTTTGTGCTTTCTTATATTTGAAGATTTTTACAAAGGTGTGCATAGTGACTTCAGACATCTTGCTTCTTTAATGTTTGACTTTCCTTAGGCCTCTTACATGTGAATGTTGAGCCCACAATCAACAGTGGTTTTATTGTTTTCCTCTGCTCAAAGTTAAAACTGACCAAAGTTATTGGCTTTTTACTTTGCTAGAACAACAAACTATCTTATGTTTACGTACTGGTTTACATTGTTATTTATGTGCAAATTGTCAAAATGTAAATTAAATATAAATGTTCATGCTTTACCAAAGCTTGTCTAGTGTCTTGAGTGAGGGGCCAGTGAATGACATCTTACTCCTGTTGTGAAGGTAGCTCTAGACCAAATTTTGGACACAACACAATTTGTCTCCACCCTGCTTCCCTTTCTGTTTCAAGCAGCCAGTAATGATTCCAACTCCTCCCCAAGCCTCCCTCCTCCAGAACTACACTTGTGAGTGATGTGATAGCACTGATCTGTTTTCTTTCTCAAAACTGTCAACAATGTAAGATTTTTCCTTAATTATGAGCTCCAGAAGTGTTCTCTAAGAGATTTCAAGCATTAGCCCATATGTAGGGAAGATTTGTTTGCTTCTGTCGGACTGTTTTTTGTTGTTTGTTTTACTTTGTTGACAGGCATGGGTGGTAGTGGAAGTAAGGAAGACATGGATTCATTCCAGGAATGCCATCGTAGGCTTGGGCCAGTATGAATGTATGTGGAGACCTAGCCCTCTCATGGCTGAAGGGTCTCAGGGAAGCTCGGGGAAACTACATCAAGGAACACGTTTTCCATTGGTGACAACATTTTTCTTAGTAGCACATTCAGGATGACTTTTGTGCTTCACCATGGTCTTCCTGCCTTACCTTCCACGATAATATTTTTCCTTCACATCTTAGTTTGGGAAGTAGATTTATCACTGTGCATTTAAAACAAATTTCTAGAAAGCTTCTCTTACTAGAATCTGGGCATTGTTGCTGTCAAACTTAAGGATCTTAAGGATCATGATGGCATGGCTAAGTGGCCCCAACAGGCATATGGGGTGAATGAGCCCACTTGCTTGTCAATTGATGATCTAGATACCAATTTGTCTATAGAAAAAAGGCAGAAATAAATTTGAGTCTCATTTAATAAATATAAATAGGAGCAACTTCCAGAAAAGTGATAATGCTTTCATTGAAAAATGACCTAAAAACCTTTTATTTACAAATGGTGTTCCTGCTTGCCATTTCACCCAGTACCAAGTTCATGGTTCCATGCTACCTTCGTGTTAAGAAAGTAATGCTCCTTCTTACATCGACTTCTCACAGCTGCCTGATTTTTTTTCGGTGTTTCTTCTTTTAATTTATTTAAACATCTGTGCCAAGAATTTGAAATGCTGCCAACATGTAATTGGAGTTAAGGAAACCAGAACTCTCTTGTCCTAAACATGCCAAATGGTGCTGGTTGCACCATTCACTAATTCTACAGAACCACTGTAATAATTTTTCAAAACAAACCCCAATAAGATGCAGAGAGTAGGAGTTCCTGCCATAAATCATAGTTTCTGTAGGTGGCAAAGATCTTGAATGTTATAAATCTTGGGAACACTTGTAGACTTAGCTGTTTAATGAAACATTACATGAAAAGATAATGTTTACTAAGCACCCAAGTCCACCAGGCCAAAATCCACACTGTTGACTGAGGTTTTGTACAGCTGTTTGTTGAGCAAGGAAAGATGAAGAAGTCACCTTTTTCTGAGTCTTCAGCAAAATTAAAGCTCTGTGCAGGTCCATGGGAGTTCATAGGCACACTTCTAGATTCCCGCCCCCCCCCCCCAGGGGAATGAAGTCAATATAGGACTCATAAGTTGGTATGAACTTATTCCTTCATTTGTGTGTGTGTGTGTGTGTGTGTGTGTGATTCCTTTCTGTACCATCTTTAAAAGGAGATGATGGGGGACAGCCAGAACAGAGGAATGAAAGTAATTAGAGGCACATGGTATAGTAGGCTTCTAATGTAAAACCAGGCCTCCAGGATAATGTAGTCTAGAAGAGAAGGCTGTACCACAGACGGTGGCAGCCAAAAGAATTAATGACTAGGAGAGAAGTTAGTGTGTCTACCGAACCAATTCAAAAGCTGCTTAGAGTTCTTTGTTCAGAATATGTCCCTTTCATTACCAGCTCCTAACCAGAAGAAATCAGATCATTCTGAACACTGGCTTCCTCTTTTGGAGTCCACTTTTGGGTATACAGCAGCTGCAAGAAAAGTTTTAGGACTCACGGATAAGCCTTCCTTCACATTCTTTTGCAAGCTTCAAGTCCTCAGAGCCCACAAGTCCATTTGCTCAAAGTGCTGCCGACAGCTGCTCTCTAAATAAATAAGAAATGATTTTAATCTCAATACAGTCTTGATCATGTAATTCAGGCAAAAATCCAGCCAAGACTCTAGGAAGTTATTTTTAACCTGACTTATGCAAATACTCTTCTTTGCCCAATTCACAGAACACTATAAACTGACAAACTCTCTCCTAGTCTGTTCTTCCTTACAGGGTTTGAAAAGTAGTGAACTAGAGTTGGCCATGTCCAAATTTCCTTCTCTCTGTATTTAAGATAAGTTTTATTTCATATAAACGTGAATATAATCATCTTGTATGTTTCCCCTAAAACTCTCAAGAAAGAGAAGAAACGGCAGGTAAGGTAATTTTGGTAAGAAATATTTCAGTGTGTTAACAAAAGGGTTATTATCCTAAAGGAGCTGTGCAATACTCCTCATCTGTAGGTATCTGCAGGATTTTACCTGTAGGTGATGGTAGCTAACTGCTCGCCATTGTGGATGAAGAATGAAATCAAACCATAGCAGAAGGAACTTTGGTTTAAAACACAGAGTGTAATGGTTACTATTTGGGTTTGTGACACAGTAGAGTCCTTTCCATGGGAAGGAGCAGAATCTCCTTCCTTGGAGGCCTTAGAGAGGAGTCAGCTTATTTGAAAGCACAGGATCAACAAGATGCTCAGGCAAGCCTTCCTAGGTCTGTAATTAAAAAAATTCACACACCTGGGAACAAGACAGATCTAAGACTTTGGTAGAAAACAGGTTCCCTTTCTCTTCCTGGGTGGTACAAATGCTTAATATGCTCAGTTGCTAACTAAAAGGTCGGTGGTTCTAATGTACCCAACCAAACCAAAAAACCAAACTCATTGCCATCAAGTTGATCCTGACTTCAAGTGACCCTATAGGACAGAGTAGAACTGCTCCCATAGGGTTTCCAAAGCTATAATCTTTACAAAAGCAGTCTGCCACGTCTTTCTCCTGTGGAGAAGTTGCTGGGTTTAAACAGCTGACCTTTTGGTTAGCCGCCAAGTACTTACCCACTGCATCATCAGGGTTGCTTTAATCTACACAGAGGCACCTCAAAAGAAAGGCCTGACCATCGACTTCCAAAAAGTCACCCATGAAAACCCTATGGGCTGCAATTCTACTCTGACACACATAGAGTCACCATAAGTTGGAATTGACTTGACAGTAACTGATTAGGTTATCTTCCTGCAGTCTCCTAGGGATTGTTATACATATTTTTAAAATATTTGTATGCAAGACATATCTGGAGAACCTATCTAATTATGAAGAAATGTCCATTATACCATGAAATGAACAATGCTGCGTATTTTGTAAAATGTTTGAAAAGCTATCACACATTTGAGTTCCCAGGAATTCTGAAAGGAGCTGGAAAATGATACATGGTACCACTTTCAAGTAGCATTGCACTTGGTACTCTGTAAAGCAACCCTGAGGCCTTTCAGCACAGTTATTACTTGAGAAGAGAAAGGACAACCTTCTCCCACCAACGTTACTTCCCTTGAGTACTACTTCCATCTGCACAGGCAAAGGAAATGAGACACACTCTTGTCTTCTTCCCCTGTGTAACCCTCTCTTGCCTCCTCAGTTTCAGTATAAGTAACTGACAGCAATTTGTTTTGAGACTAACCAACTGAGGAGCATTAATGGAGTGACTTCAATTCCTTCCATGGTTGTCAGCAGAGGTGTATCTAAGGTATGGCAAATATGGCCCTCAGCATCACTTGAGGGGGGCACCAAATGAACAGTTTCTATGGGCCATGGTACTTCCCATCACCAGCTGTGAAAGATACTTCAGCAATTTGAAACTAATTGCCATAGGTACTAGTTTCCATAGATAAGCTCTGCTTCTAGGGCCAGAGCTTAGGAGTACAACCAAGGTGGGAACTGAGTGCCTGCTTTCATGGAAAGAGTAGTGAACTAGGAGTTGGGATGCTTGGCTCCAGTCTTTATTGAACTGTGTGCT